CTGATCCTGCTTTTCATCGGGATCACGTTCCCGGCCACGCTGGGAATGTTGGGGATGAATTAATTCCGTGTTGGGATTCCAGAAAGATCCGTGGCAGGATTCCCGCGGCTCCGGCCTGGAATTCATCCCAAATTCCCTTTTCCCGCCCCAATTCCGGCTGGGAAGGGATTTCCCGCTCTGGGATCAGCCTGGAAATGGGATTGGGGGGGGGTTGGAGGGGGAGGTTCTGTGTGGGAATGGGAGGCAGGAGCCTTTCCCAGGGATTTTGGGAATTTTGGGATGAATCCATGGCCAGGACCCCTTTTGCAGGCTCTGAGGAATTTTGGGAATTCTCTCCTTTATCCCAGAATCCCGTGGGATTTGGGGCCAGCGCTGCCTGAGGCATTTCAGGCCCAGCCCCGCAGGAAATTCCTGAAATTCCTTGGAATTCCTGGAGCCGCTTCCATGGGACCACCAACAATTAAATCCCAAAAACTTTCCCAGAGGTGGCAGGGATCGGGCTGAAAATCCAGTGGGATTTTTTGGGATCATGATGAAAATCCAATTGGATTTTTTGGGACCAGGATGAAAATCTGATGGGATTCCTTAGGATTGGGATGAAAATCCATCGGGAATTTTTGGGATCAGGATGAAAATCCAGTAGGATCCGTGCGGAATCAGGATGAAGATCCCTGTGGGATCAGTATAAAAATCCAGTGGGATTTTTTGGGATCAGGGTGAAAATCCAGTTGGATTTTTTGGGATCAGGATGAAAATCCAGTAGGATCCGGGCGGAATCAGGATGAAGAGCCCTGTGGGATCAGTATAAAAATCCAGTGGGATTTTTTGGGATCAGGATGAAAATCCAGTAGGATCCGGGCGGAATCAGGATGAAGAGCCCTGTGGGATCAGTATAAAAATCCAGTGGGATTTTTTGGGATCAGGATGAAAATCCAGTAGGATCCGGGCGGAATCAGGATGAAGAGCCCTGTGGGATCAGTATAAAAATCCAGTGGGATTTTTTAGGATCACCATAAAAAAAAACCCATCAGCAACAACCATTCCTGGAAAATCCCATAAAAATTTGAGGGAATGGGCTCTGGATTTGCGGGATGGATTTGAGGGGGGCCTGAAATTGCCGGGAATTCCGGCTGATCCCGAGAATTCCCGCAGATCCAACCGGGACTGCCAGATCGACCAACACCACCGGAACCAGTGCCAGTACTGCCGCCTCAAGAAGTGCTTCCGCGTGGGCATGAGGAAGGAAGGTAGGGAAAAATTCCCAAGGAATCCCGGGAATGCCAGGTTTTGGGGAAAAAAATAGGTTTTTCCCATTTTTTGGGGATTTCTGGGGGATTGGTGCGGGGTCAGAATGAAAATTCAGAGATTTTTTGGCATCAGGATGAAGATTCAGTAGGATCAGTGTGGGATCGGGATAAAAATCCAGTGGGATTCTTTGGGATCAGGATGAAAAACTGTTGGAATTTTTTGGGATTGGGATGAAAATCCAGTGGGATTTTTTGGTGTTGGGATGAAAACCCAGTAGGATCCATGTAGGACCAGTGTGGGATCCAGCAGGATCAGTGTGGGATCGGGATAAAAATCCAATGGGGTTTTTTGGGATTCCAGATGAAAATCTGATGGATTTTTTTGGATCACGATGAAGACCCAGTAGGATTTTTTGGGATCAGGATGAAAATCCATTGGGATTTTTTGCCATCAGGATGAAAACCCAGTAGGATGTTTTGGGATCAGGATGAAAATCTGATGGGATTTTTTGGGATCAGGATGAAAATCCATTGGGATTTTTTGCCATCAGGATGAAAACCCAGTAGGATGTTTTGGGATCAGGATGAAAATCTGATGGGATTTTTTGGATCACGATAAAAACCCAGTAGCATCCATGTAGGATCAGGATGAAGATCCAGTAAGATCCATGTAGGATTGGGATAAAAATCCGATGGGATTTTTTGGGATGAAAATCTGATGGGATTTTTTAGGATGAAAGTCTGATGGGATTTTTTGGGATCGCAGTGAAAACCCAGTAGGTTTCTTTGAGATTGGGATGAATTTCCAGTAGGATCCATGTAGGATCGGGATGAAGATCCAGTAAGATCCATGTAGGATTGGGATAAAAATCCGATGGGATTTTTTGGGATGAAAATGTGATGGGATTTTTTGGGATCTTGGGATCACAATGAAAACCCAGTAGGTTTCTTTTGGATTGGGATGAACTTCCAGTAGGATCCATGTAGGATCAGGATGAAGATCCAGTAAGATCCGTGTGGGATCAGGATGAAGATCCAGTAAAATCCATGTAGGATTGGGATAAAAATCCGATGGGATTTTTTGAGATGAAAATGTGATGGGATTTTTTGGGATCTTGGGATCACAATGAAAACCCAGTAGGTTTCTTTTGGATTGGGATGAACTTCCAGTAGGATCCATGTAGGATCAGGATGAAGATCCAGTAAGATCCGTGTGGGATCAGGATGAAGATCCAGTAAAATCCATGTAGGATTGGGATAAAAATCCGATGGGATTTTTTGAGATGAAAATGTGATGGGATTTTTTGGGATCTTGGGATCACAATGAAAACCCAGTAGGTTTCTTTTGGATTGGGATGAACTTCCAGTAGGATCCATGTAGGATCAGGATGAAGATCCGTATGGGATCACGATGAAATCCCTATGGGGTTTTTTTGGCCTCGGGATGAAGATCCAGTAAGATCCATGTAGGATTGGGATAAAAATCCGATGGGATTTTTTGGGATAAAAAGCCAATTGGATTTTTTGGGATGAAAATCCGATGGGATTTTTTGGGATGAAAATGTGATGGGATTTTTTGGGATCTTGGGATCACAATGAAAACCCAGTAGTTTCTTTGGGATTGGCGTGAAGTCCCAGTAGGATCCATGTAGGATCAGGATGAAGATCCGTATGGGATCACGATGAAATCCCTATGGGGTTTTTTTGGCCTCGTGATGAAGATCCTCCCCCTCCTCCCCCTCCAGCCGTCCAGCGGGGCCGAATCCCCCCGAGCCACTCCAGCAGCAGCCCCAACCCCCTCCCGGCCGGCGACTTCTTCAACGGGCAGCCGGTGTCGGAGCTGATCTCGCAGCTGCTGCGCGCCGAGCCCTACCCGGCGGCGCGCTACGGCTCGCAGTACGCGCAGCAGCAGCAGCCGCCGGGCAGCGTCATGGGCATCGACAACATCTGCGAGCTGGCCGCCCGCCTGCTCTTCAGCACCGTGGAGTGGGCGCGCAACATCCCCTTCTTCCCGGAGCTGCCCGTGTCCGACCAGGTGGCCCTGCTGCGGCTGAGCTGGAGCGAGCTCTTCGTGCTCAACGCGGCGCAGTCGGCGCTGCCGCTGCACATGGCGCCGCTGCTGGCGGCCGCCGGCTTCCACGCCTCGCCCATGTCGGCCGAGAGGGTGGTGGCCTTCATGGATCAGATCCGAGTCTTCCAGGAGCAGGTGGAGAAGCTCAACCGGCTGCAGGTGGACTCGGCCGAGTACAGCTGCCTCAAGGCCATCGCGCTCTTCACGCCCGGTGCGGGGTTGGGGTCGGGTGGGAGTGGGGTTTCCTGAGGGTTTGTGGGGTTGGGGATGGGTAGGGAGAGGTTGTTCCAAGGGTTTGTGGGGTTGGGGATGGGTAGGGAGAGGTTGTTCCAAGGGTTTTCAGGGTTGGGGTTGGGTGGGAGGGATTGGGGTGGGGTTTCCTGAGGGGTTGGGGATTGGTAGGGAGAGGTTGTTCCAAGGGTTTGTGGGGTTGGGGATGGGTAGGGAGAGGTTGGGGTGGGGTTTCCTGAGGGATTGGGGATTGGTAGGGAGAGGTTTTTCCAGGTTTTTCTGAGGGTTTAGGGATTTGGGATTTTGAGAGATTCCCAATGGATTTGGGGTTATTCCCTTGGAGATATTCCCAATGGATTTTAGGAGATTGGATTTTGGGATGTTCCCAATGGATTTGGGGATATTGGATTTTGGGGTATTTACAATGGATTTTAAGAGATTCCCTGTGGATTTTGGTATATTCCAAATGGATTTTGGGAGATTGGATTTTGGGATCTTCCAAATAGATTTGGAGATATTCCCAATGGATTTTGGGGACACTGGATTTGGGGTTATTCCCTTGGGGACATTCCCAATGGATTTGGGGATATTCCCAATGGATTTTGGGCTATTTGCACTGGGTTTTGGGATATTCCCAATGGATTTTGGGATATTCGATTTTGGGAGGACATTCCCCGGGGACATTCCCTCGGGGACATTCCCAGTGGATTTGGGGACATTCCCAATGGATTTTGGGCTATTTGCACTGGATTTTTGGCTATTCCCAATGGATTTGGGGATGTTGGATTTTGGGAGGACATTCCCTCGGGGACATTCCCTTGGGGGCATTCCCTTGGGGGCATTCCCAGTGGATTTGGGGATATTCCCAATGGAGATCTGGGGATATTGGATTTTGGGAGGACATTCCCTGGGGACATTCCCTCGGGGACACTCCCAGCGGGTCCCCCGCCGATCCCCGCCGCCCTCCAACCGCGCCGCCGTTGCCTTGCAGACGCCTGCGGGCTGTCGGACCCGGCGCACGTGGAGACGCTGCAGGAGAAGGCGCAGGTGGCGCTGACGGAGTACGAGCGCTCCCAGTTCCCGTCGCAGCCGCAGCGCTTCGGGCGCCTGCTGCTGCGGCTGCCCGCGCTGCGCGCCGTGCCCGCCGCCCTCATCTCGCAGCTCTTCTTCATGCGCCTGGTGGGCAAGACGCCCATCGAGACCCTGATCCGCGACATGCTGCTGTCCGGCAGCACCTTCAACTGGCCCTACGGCGCCGGGCAGTAGGGACGGACGGACGGACGGACGGCGGGATGGACGGACGGATGGATGGATGGACAGATGGATGGCCCGCGCGATGGATGGATGGACGGCGGGATGGGCCGGAGAACGGGACGGGCCAGAGAACAGGATGGGTCGGACAATGGGACAGGCCGGACAATGGGACAGGCCGGACAATGGGACAGGCTGGACAGCGGGACGGACTGACAGCGGGATGGATGGATGGATGGACAGCAGGACGGGCCGGAGAATGGGATGGGCCAGACAACGGGACAGGCCAGAAAATGGGACAGGCTGGACAATGGAGCGAGCCAGAGAACGGGACAGACGGACAGCAGGACAGGCCAAACAATAGGATGGGACAGACAATGGGATGGGCTGGACAATGGGACAGGCCGGAAGATGGGACAGGCTGGGACAATGGGATGGGCCAGAGACGGGACAGACGGACAGCAGGACAGGCCAGACAATGGGACGGGATGGACAATGGGACAGGCTGGACAATGGGACCAACAGACAACAGGACGGGCTGGACGACGGGACAGACAGACAGTGGGACAGGCCGGAGAACAGGACGGGCCAGACAGCGGGACGGACAGACAGCGGGACAGCCTGGGCAGCAGGACAGACAGACAGTGGGATGGGCTGGATAATGAGACAGACGGACAAGGGGCCGGGCGCTCCCCGGGAAGGGGATTGGGATTCTCCACAACGCCGGCGGCTCCCGGTCCCGCCGGAACGGGGACGCGCCCTCGCGGGTTGTGCCTGGAGACTTGTGGGGTTGGCACCAAAGGTTTTGGGATCCTGGCGTTGTCACCGGAATTTGTGGAGTTCCAGCATTGTCCCCAAAAGTTTTGTGGTCTTGAGGTTGTCCCCAAAAGAGGTCCCAGTGTTGTCCCAAAAAGTTTTGGGGTCCTGGTGTTGCTCCAAAATGTTTTGGGGTCCTGCTGTTGTCCCCAAAAGAGGTCCCAATGTTGTCCTCAAATTGTCCCTGAAAGTTTTGGGGTCCTGATGTTTTCCCCAAAAGTTTTGGGGTCGTGGCGTTGTCACCAAAGGTTTTGGGGTCCTGAGGTTGTCCCCATAAGTTTTGGGGTCTGGGTGTTGTCCCAAAGGTTTTGGGGTCCTGAGGTTGTCCCCATAAGTTTTGGGGTCTGGGTGTTGTCCCCAAAAGAGCTCCCAATGTTGTCCCCAAAAGTTTTGGGATCCTGGCGTTGTCCCCAGAGTGTCCCTAAAGATGGAGGGGACACACAAGGGACAGAGACCCCCCCAGCTGGCACCAGGATGAGCCAGGATTTCAGGATTTGGGATTTCAGGATTTGGGATTTTGGGATTCCGGGACCACTCCCAGCCGATGGAATCCTCGCTCGCCATATAAACTCATTAATTAACGCCAATTAAAGACCTTTCCTACAACCCCGGTCTGCAAGGAGCCAGGATTTGGGATTTTGGGATTTGGGATCTCAGGATTTGGGGATTTGGGATTTCAGAATTTCAGGATTTTGGGATTTCAGGATTTGGGATCTCAGGATTTAGGGATTTGGCATTTCAGGATTTTGGGATTTCAGGATTTTGGGATTCCGGGAACATTCTCCGCTGATGGAACCCTCACTCCCCCATATAAACCCATTAATTAACGCCAATTAAAGACATTTCCTACAATCCCAACGGTCTAGATTTGGGATCCAGCAGAAAAATTGGAACTGGGGAGATCAAACCCACCCCAAAAATTGGGAATGTTCCATAAAAATCCTGACATTTGGATTTTTTTGGGGATAGAAAATTGGGGATTTTGGGGGTTCTTCTTCAGTTTGGGTTTTTTTTGGGGACGGGGGATTTGGGATTTTGGGGGTTTGGATTTCTCTTCCCCAGGTTTGGGGGGATTTGGGATTTCCCCTCCAAAACTGGGAGGGTTTTTGGTGTCCCCTCCAAAATTTAGGGGAATTTTGGCCTTTTCATTTCACCCTGACCCCAAATGAAAATCAACAATTACACTTCATTTATTACAAAACAATTAAAATATTACACAATTCCCACAGTTTCCCAATTCCCTACGAAATATTTTGGGATTTGGGTCCCCCCAAAAATTAAAAAAAACCCAAAAGGGTTTTTTTGTCGCCCAAACCCCAATTTGGGACCCCCAAAACCCCTTTAAGGCAGCCAGGGGAGTGCAAACCCCATTAAAAACCCTATTTACAACCAGGGGAAGGCACTGGGGGGGTCCCAAAGTGTCTGGGGGACATTTGGGGACATTTTGGGGTGGGTGGGGTCACATCAACAGCTGCCACCATCCCTCCCCACCCTTGGCACCGGGGAGGGCTCAAAACGAGGAATTTTAGGTCTTTTTAGCACAAAAAAAGGCACAAAAGTCTTTGGAGGGAGTTGGGGGGGTTTGCGGGGTGTCCCCCCTAAAAATGTCCCTTTTTTTTGGGGTGGTGGCTTTGGGGTCAGCCCCGGAGCTTGTCGTAGTCGCTCACCATCCTTTTGATGTGGAAGAGTTTGTTCCGGAGAGTTTTGGATTCCCGTTTTTTGTCCTGGTACTCCGGGCTCTGGGAAGGGATTTGGGGAATTTAGGGGACGTCTGGGGACGTTTTGGGGACATTGGGGGTGTCCCCAAAGGAGGAGGGGAGAGCCCAAAACTCAGCCCTGCAAACTCACCCGCTTCACGTCCTTGAGGTGGTTGTACTCCTCGGCCAGCGCCTGCGGGGACAGCGGGGTCACAGGGGACAGGGACAGAGGGGACAGGGACAAGGATGGGGACAGGACAGGGAGGGACAGGGGACAGGGACAGGGATGGGGAAGGGATAGAGGGGTCAGGGATGGGGACAGGGGACATTGGATGGGGACAGGGACAGGGAGGGGACAGCAGGGTCAGGGATGGGGACAGAGGGGCAGAGGGGACAGTGACAAGGGGGACAGGGGACACAGGGACAGAGGGGACAGGGGACAGGAGGAAGGACAGGAGCGGGGATAGTGAGGGAAGATGGGGGGGAAATAAGGCAGGAATGGGGGGGAAGGGGTCAAAAAGAAGGAAAAAGGGACAAAAAGGGGTGAAAAAAGGGGCAGAAAAGGGGTGAAAAAGGGGGCACAAAGGGGTGGAAAAGGGGCAAAAAAGGGTGAAAAAAGGGGTGAAAAAAGGGGCAGAAAAGGGGTGAAAAAGGGGGCACAAAGGGGTGGAAAAGGGGCAAAAAAGGGTGAAAAAAGGGGTGAAAAAAGCGGCAGAAAGGGGGTAAAAAGTGGTGAAAAAAGGGACACAAAGGAGTGAAAAAGGGGTAAAAGAGGGGTGAAAAGGAGGCAAAAAGGGGTGAAAAGAGGGGCACAGAGGGCGGGCCGGGGGCACACCTGGTACTGGGCGCTGTCCTCGGGCACCTGGTCCAGCTGTGCTGCCAGCTGTGCCAGGCGCTCGTTGAGCCCGTCCATGTGGGCACAGAGCTCCTTGTAGCGCCGCAGCTCCGCCCCGAAATCCGCCTTGTAGCGCTGGCGCGTGCCCGGGGAGCTGATCGGGGGGTACAGCCTGGGGACAGCGGGGAGGGGTCATTGGGGATATGGGGACATTGGGGATATTGGGGGTATTGGGGACATGGGGACACTGGGGATATTGGGGGTATTGGGGATATTGGGAAACCAGGGATATTGGGGGTATTGGGGCATTGGGGGTATTGGGGACATTGGGGACACTGGGAACATCGGGGATATGGGACATTTGGGATATTGGGGACATTGGGGACATTGGGGACATCTGGGATATTGGGGATATGGGACATGGGGGATATGGGGGGTATTGGAGATATTGGGGACATCAGGAATATGGGGACATTGGGGATATTGGATTTGGGATATGGGGACATTGGGGATATTGGGGGTACTGGGGACATGGGGCCACCAGGGATATTGGGGGTATTGGGGCATTGGGGGAATTGGGGATATTGGGGACACTGGGAACATCGGGGATATTGGATTTGGGATATTGGGAACATTGGGGATATTGGGACATGGGAGACACTGGGGACATGGGAAACATTGGGGACATCAGGGATATTGGGGCATTGGGGACATCAGGTTAGGGTTAGGACATTGGATTTGGGATATGGGGACATTGGGGACACTGGGGACATGGGAGACATTGGGGACATGGGGGACATTGGATAATGGGATATGGGGACATTGGGATATGGGGGCACTGGGGACACGGGGGCTATTGGGACACTGGGATATGGGGACACGGGGACACTGGGTACACGTGGCCGCAGTGCCCCAGTGACCCGCGCTGTCCCCAAGTGTCACCTGAGCCACTGCTGGCGCTCGCGCTCGTCGCTGGACTCGGGGGCCGAGGTGGGGTCGGTGTCACCGGCGGAGCCCTCGCGCTCGGGCTGGCGCCGGCCCCGGCGGCCGCGGCGGGCGGGG